GAAGTGAGGCCTTTTTTTTTTTCTTCTTCTACAATAGGACCTTGGATGTATCCAATGGCGGTTCGACGAAACTGTGATGTACGTCCGACGGCGAAAGGCTCCGTCATATCCCAGCGTGGCGGCAGTCGAGAGCGCCGAGGATTTAGGCGCCGTGAGTTTGGGTGGAGAAGATGAGGTGTATGTGTTAATTGATTTGGGGCTTTTCTAATGAAAATTAGATAATCCTTAGGATCTATTTTGCAATTTTTAAAATTTTAATATATGTATATTTTATTACTTGAAGGAAATTTATAATTAGTGAAAATTAATTTATGCACAATAATGACAAATTAGATGTATAATATTGTGTGTTGGTGTGCAATTTTAAAAATAATGTCATATGTATACGAAATTATTAAAAAATTGATAAATATGTAAATTTTTCGATAAGTAAATTGCACGATATTTTGTATAAATATGTGCTTTAAGGTAAAAACAACTAATCAAAATGAAATTTTAAATTTCAAATAGAAAATTTCGATATGATTAGTTTAATTTGTCGGTTAACATAATTTGGGGATGGGTTTGTTTTGGAAAATTTGATATAATTGGGGGACTATTTTTTCAATTAATTATTTAAATTTATGTATATTTTTTATTCATGGATGACATTTAATGAAAATTAATGATGACACTAATGACACATTAGATGCACAATATTGTGTGTACGTGTGCACTTTAAAAAATATTGTTATATGTGTATATGAAATTATTAAAAATTTGATAACTACCTCATTATTTTTTATGTAAAATGTACATTAATATTTTTATCTAAGATTTTATTTATTTTGTATTGAAAAAGATAATATTTTATATAATATTTTTATATTGTTTGGTCGGTCCGGTTATTTTCGTTATAAGGTGCAACGTATTTACTGTATTTTTTTAAATGGAAAAAAAATATTAATCCAACCAAAAAATATTATAATTATCATATTTTTTGGTATGTGTACCGTTGTTTTATACGGTGCAACATCTTGTGTTATAAGGTGCAACGACTTGCTTTATAAAGTGCATTGTATTGATGTATATATAGTACAATACTTAAATTTTTATCTACCATTTTCTTTATTTTTATTAAAAAATAATATTTTATATAGTTTGGTTGGTCCAGTTACTTTCGTTATAAGGTACAACGCATTTACCGTATTTTTTGAATGGCAAAATAATATTAATCGAACCAAAAAATATTATAATTATCGTGTTTTTGGTATGTGCAACGTGTTGTGTATATGGTGCAACATTATGCATTATAAGGTGCAACTAATTGCTATATACAGTGCAATGTATTGATATATATAGTGCAATTACTTAAATTTTTGTACATTAGCATGTTTGTGTTTTTTTATGGATAGATGATATGGCTGATATTAAATTATTATGTAATCCGTTTTTTGGATTTATATTGCGTAATATTTTGGCGGGAGCGATTAGACATTAATCGTGGAGCGCGGTGATAAAGTGAAACGTGTTCTATTATAAAGTGCAATACATCACTATAAAGTGCACTAATGTATACCTTAATTATGTGCATTATAAAACTAATTTTAATATAAATAATTGTACATTAAATTAATTTAAATAATTAAATTATTTTTTAATTATTGTTTTAAATATATAATTTATTTATTATTACAAAATATTTTTCATACTATTTTTATTTTTTTACATTATTTTTATTTAATAATTTTTTTATTATATATATGCATAACAAAGTATATAAATATATTTTTTTATTAACTTTCAATAATTACAGATTGACCAATGTGTCAAATTAAAATATACTTAAAATTGTTAAAATTGCAAATAGGTCACTTGATATAATCAAATTCTCAAAAAAGAGGCCCAAACCCAAAATTAAATTTCAGATCTGCCATTGCCAGTAGCATCCCCTCACATCTGCTATGGCGTCGTTCGAGCTCCAGGAGGTGGCGGAGCGTCCGGCAATAGAGTCGTTCGAAGTTCTCCACCTATATCTCCTCCCTGACGACCGGCGGATGGAGGTCGCCGGAGATGATTAGGGGCAACGACGGAGTTCTGTGTTGATAAGAATCGAAGGTTGGCCGCCGTTGGAATCTCGCCGGAGACGAACTGAGACGGTCGGCGAAGACGGTGAAGTCGGAGGAGACTCACAGGAGGTGCGACGGCGGAGATGGCAGGGCAGAGCAGCGAAGGCGGCGGTGATGATCGACTTTGTGTGCGACCGCCGCCGGCGGCGTTGTGTGTTTGCTCTCGCTGGCGATGTGTGTGTTGTGTGTGTCGCGCTGGTGTGTGTGTGTGTTTCTGTGTGTGCTGCGTGTGTAAATGTGTGTGTAATTGTGTTTTAGTGTGTGTTGAATAGTCAAAACGTGTGTAAGGTGTGAGAGATAAGAGTGTGAGATGTGTGATGTATTAGTGGCCACGTGGCAGTATATGATTGGATGGGATGAATATTAGTTGGCATAGGTTGATAATTAAAATGCCTATAATACCCTTAAATAATTAAATGCGGATTTTTGGTATCCGTTAGATCGTTTAATTCGATGGTTGTGATGTATTCTTATTTCTTTCATTGAGAACTATTCTCATGTGAACCCAACCCTATATATATATATGAGATACACAACAAATGAGGTTTTTTGTTTAATTTACTTGTTAACTGCCCAGATTTATTGTGATTCTACTTTGTAACTTCATACAATTTTCTTCATTCTTTTCCATTCCTTTACCATTGACGCTATTATTTCTAATTTTCTCCACCTCCAATCTTCTCCAATATTTTATCGTTGATGTCATTATTCTCAATCTGAAGCTTTTTCTTTTAGCCATTTCCTCTTCGACGAGAAAAAACACAAGCACATAAAATGGTGAACGTCGATCCCAATTTCCCCAATGTCCGAAGCATCCTTCCTCTGCAAAAAAAATAAAAATAAAATAATAATAATAAAAAAAAAATACCTAATGTTGACCGGAAGCTCATGGAAAAGAAACTTTAATTCCATAACAAATCGAAGTTCAGCGGGTGCGAAAAATCCCGCAATAAAGGTGGAGAAGAAACAACAGTTGCAACCCCTTCTGACGACGTCGATGAAATCCCACAGGCAAAGAAGAGAACACGACGAAAGAAAAAGTCCACCATGTTCGCAATAAAAGACCTAGACCAAGATTATGATTTTGTTGAAGACTATGATGTCGTTGAAAGCGATGACTTAATTAAAAAAATGAATGATAAAACAGATCAGATCGACAATTATATAAGAAAAAATGTCAAGACTTAACGACGTGCGTTAAAATCTTTTGCAATACGGAAATCATAATATTTTCAGTATATGTTAATTTTATAGTTAGTTTTTTTAATTATTTGTTGAGTATATTTTTAGTATATGTTGTGTTTAAATTACATAACATTTATCTAACCACAATTGTAATGTTTGGATTTTATTTATATTTTTTACTTGATTATATACTCACAATCTGTACAACATTGATAAGTAAAACACTTTATAAGCGCTNCAAAATCGACCAGGTCGACAATTATAAGAAAAAGAGGTGAAGACTTGACGTCAAGGGTCAAAATCTTATGAATGTCGGGCATTAGAACAATTACAGTATATCTTGCTTTTATAATTAGTATATTTTTAATATATGTCGTGTTTCCATTTACATAACATTTATCTAATCACAATTGTGATGTTTTGATTTTGTTTATATTTTCTACTTAATTTTATACCAACTATCTATACTGCATCGATATGTAAACTAATTTATAAGCGCTATTCATAATGTTTAAGAAAAAAATATACATACTAGATTATAATTTTTTTTTTCTGCTCAACTAAAATTCGGTTTACACTTGGTTTATATCCTGTAATTATTCGTATAACATATAAGTATATATATACAATTTTCGGTTTTTTATTAGTAGAAGAAGAGAGAAATAAAAGAGATTTTATTTGATGGTTGTTAGAATCTTAAAAGTGGACTTATGGAAATAGAAAATTGAAGATAGATATTATGCTAGTGAATATTTGCATATATTTGGTTTATAACATGTAAATATTTACATAACATTTATCTATATACATTTTCGAATTTGTTGCGTTTATAGTCAACAAACTCAAAACAGAAAAATATCAAAAAGTGGCAACATTTTCCGTCTTTCGAACTCACACCTTCCCTATTTTCATCTTCTGCACCGCGCCCGTCGCCACCAGATTTCTCCTCAGAAAATTATCATTTGAGATGCACCAGATTTCTCCTCAGAAAATTATCATTTGAGATGCCATTTGCAAAATAAACGATAAAAAAAATAAACACAAATTAAAACATAAAAGAAACGAATATCATCTACAATATAAAAAACAATCCGTATATATTTCTACTAAAGAACGATGTGTTTACCTCTTCTCTGGCCAACTTACATTTGATTACAGTGGTATACCATTTGTCAATGAAGAATTGCGATCAAGTTTTTCGAATTCAAATTCAAAATACTTTCTTTTCCAAAAAAATCTTTAACGTGCTTTGTTTTTTTTTTTTCAGCTTACCATGTGAGATGATTTGTTTGTTCGGTTTTTTCAATTATGATCCATTCCTGTAACTGATGGAAGGAGAGAGAATCAATCATACCTTTTTTTTTTTAATCCAACCCTAAATTATCTAGTATTTACCTAATTAAATATGTTTATTACGGTATATGTTCAAATAAGATTGCACATTTGTATATTTGCAAAATAATTTGTTAACAGCCACAACAGAGATTTAAATGAGCTAGATGAAGCAAGCTATTTTTTCAACCAAATACAGATTTCAAATAAAGTATTTATTTGGTAAATAAGAATTTTTTAGACTTATCTTGTACATAATAATTTTGAATAGTGTTGGAATCATACATTAGTTGTGTTTGTTAAGGAGAATTTTGAGCTAAAATTAGAGGTTTGGAACGAGGTTTGGTGTGATTTTATATAAAAGTAATCAACCAGTAAATCAGCAAACTAGCAGAGTTTATTCTTCGACTGAAATCCATGAAAAATAAAGGAAATGCTTTAGTTTTCAACAGCTAGAAAGCTAGAAATAGCCAACTACACTTGTACAAATTATAAGATGGCTTATAAGCCTGTCTAGAGTGTGTGCTGAAATAATGAGAAATAAAAAGAAGTAATGTCTATCTAGTTTTATGGAAAAATCTCTTGGCCAGCATTAAATTCACTATTGCTATGAACAGAACTTTGTCGATCCAACGAACGAAGCAAAGCGAAGTGAAGTCATAGAAGCTTTGAAACAAATCCTTCATTGATGCTGACTAGGATCTTTTGTGCTGACGGTTTCTTTCCGAAATAATCCATGGTGTCGAGCAATTAAGAACTAAAATCAATTTGATCGATCGAGAAATCCAAATCCCCAAACGAGAAGTTCGTGTAAGGAGTGGGGTTCGAGATAATTTCACCGAAATCATTCCCAAAATCGCTCGAGAAATAGGAATCGGATGTAGCATTAGACAAAAACCGAGGCGAATAATTCGTCTCGGAGAAAAATTGTGTTTCCAAATTCTCGGACTCAATTGGGGTCGGAGGGAAGGAAAAGAAAGGAAATTGGTCATCTTTTGTAACCGATTCTTGATTTTCGGGCTTTGGTTCGACCTCAGGACAAGTGGCGTCCTGTGATTGGATCGGGCTCTCGACACGCTCTTCTTGTTCTTTCTTTAGGACAACTTGATTTTCTTTGTTCGGTTTTAGTCTCTCTTGAATACAACTGTGTTTGCCTCGATAAACGACCTCAAAGACTGAAGGGTCGTTATCTGCACGTTGGACTTGTTTCGTGGCCAAGCAACCTTGCGTGTTTCGATGTGTGCATCGGTAGTACGCCCTGCATTGTTATTTGTACACTCTTCATTAGAAATTTGTTACAACTTTCACACTTTTTGTCTTAACTAATTCCATACATTAAAAATTGAAAATAAAATAAAAAATGAATGTAAAATTGTGGGCTCTAAAGAACTATGATCCAAATTGTACTTATATCCATATAAAGACTACAGTGTGAATGAAAGGTTGTATTTTATTTGGGTATGTAAGTAAAGTCTAATTCAACACGTTTTTCATAGCCTTATATGTTAAAAGTTTTTTCTTCTAGTATAAAAAGACAAACAAGAAAAAGTTGAATGGCCCTCAAATATCAATAAATGGGGCCATCCAAATAGGTTCTAAGACCATCTCCAACTGTACCCCAAAACGCAAAAATTGAGGGAATTTTGCTCCAACCGAATCGCATTACCGATCCCAAAATGAGTTTTTGATGTTTCTCTCTCCATAGAAAACGCAAATATGCGTTTCACTGTGCTTGGACGCAAACATTTTTCAAAATTTTATTTCTTACCCTTTTGCTTTGTATAATTGCATTTTGGACTTATTAAATATTAATATTAAAAATACATAAACCATCAAACTATTGCTAAATTAAAAATATGACTTTTTTTAATTAAATACATCATAACCTAGTTTTTACTTATTTAATAAATATTTTTTGATATTTATTATTATCTTTTAGAAAAATTATAAACCATATTAATATTAAAAATACTATAAACTTAACACATAACAAAGACATTAATATTATCAAATCAATCATAAAATTGAAATATAGCATAAAACAACGAAAAATAAAAATACATTATAAATTATTGTAATTTTTTATTTTTCATCTTGTGTATTGTAATTTTTCATTTTATTTCGCGTGTTGTAATTTTAAATTTCTTATTTTGTGCGTTGTAATTTCTAATTTCATCTTGTGTATTGTAATTATTAAATTATCATCTTGTGTGTTATAATTTTTAATTTGATCTTGTGTGTAATTTTTAAATTTTAATTTTAATAAAAATAATAATTTCTCCAATTTTATAATGAATATGATATGATTATAACTTTATGATTAATTTTGTTACATAAATTCTAAATTGATTTAAAATAATAGTGTGGTTTAATTTGTAAAGTTGTAAAATAGTAGGTAGTTTTGAAAAGTTGTAAAAGTTGATGTAAAAGAGAATTTCCGAGAATATTCTTTTGGGTTTGAAAAGAGTTTTTCGGATGGAGATGAATTACTGCAAAATGTGTCAGTCAGTTACTGCAAAATGGGTTTGAGAATGGGTTTTTCAGTTGGAGATGGCCTAAAATTCTCATCAACACGTCTAGCATACCAGTTGTTCTAGATATTCTCATCTTGTTTAATTAACACATAAGCATATCAATACAGTTCTTGAGTGTAAAATTTTGTTTTATCTTGTATTCGTGGTTCTTGGTCTTTGTTGGCTATGAATCTCATAATTTAAAGGGCAAGTGGCTTTGTGTTATAAAATGCAACTTGATAAACATAATGTACAAAAAAATTAAATGAAGTTGTGAAATAGATGAGTTGTTTTTAATATTGTTTGTTAAATCAGAATGCACGTCAAAAAAAAGATCTTCATGTCTGGGGAAAAAATATACTCTGGCTCTCAAAGTCAAGACCTCAACTATCTTTTACCTCAGGATAATTGAAAACAATATACTTCATACAATCCAATTAATTGTCCGTATTGCTTTAACATTTCAAAATAGGTAATGATTAATCATTTATAGTCCTATAAACATTAATTCCATAATTTAGAAAATAAATTTCAGTATTTAGCAATTAAATCAGTTAAAAATATAATTTATTTGTTTTTTTCACCTTGGATGATTAGCCCCTAAAATCCCCTTCTGCCCATATTTCCTCCAATTATACCCATCATCAAGCTGTCCTTCAAACCCAGTATCAGACCTCACTTTCACTTGTTCACTCCATTTTGGAAATGCTTTTCTGCAAAAACCCAAAAGAAATAATAACCAAATTACACAAACCACACCACAAAT